CTCAGCTATTTTCTGACCTTACAGAGCCTATTGCAAAGCCATCTTGTTATGGTGAGCTTGCTAGGGATTCGGATGTGGATGCTGGGGGAAGTTTGCAGGTTGAATCTTACCTCTAGCTGTTGTTTTGGTCAAGAGTTTGCTTCTGTTCCAATAATGCTGGTGGTTTTGGAAGTTTTTTAATGAGTTGGTCTGCAGTCATTTCGACTATATTGAGAAGCATCACTATTAATGTTTTATTTTCTATGAAATAAGTTAAAATGGATAGTCTATTAGCTATTTAAATTGAAGCAGAAAAATCTTGTGGTTAAAGAACAAAAGACCAGCACAGACTGTCTCCAGTCATTTTCTGTTAGATTACAACTGTTCTGATTTTCTGATGCATTTTCATGGAAATAGTATTTTATCAAAATTGGAGAAGTAAGTGGCCCCCAAACAGCAGACATAACCTTCCCAGCCTTTGCAAATATCATCTCTTTACACACAGTCTCTTCCTCCTTTCAGAGAAGTTGTGTGTTCAAAACCAAACTTTCTGTTAACGCTGCACTGAGTAAGGGTTAATACATACAGACTTCTCAAGTCCTACATGACTCAAATAACCATCTGCAGTGACAGATCATGTGCTTGGAGGTTTATGCTTTAAGCTATCCAAATATCAGATAATCCTAGAACATCACAACAAGAGGTGCAAAGCAGGTTTTATGATTTAATTCTTTCTGTTTCTGTTGCTTATACAGTTCACTTCAGTTTATACTGTTGCCAAAATCCTAAACAGCTTTGTGGATGAAGGGGTTTTGCTGTGTTTCATATACTGTCTAGCTAAGGAACATTGGAGTAAAGCTTACTCAACGTTTCTCCTGTTAGGAAGTTTGGTTATGGAAAATCCATTTGTCTAGTTGCTGTTCATTTCAGATCTGAGATTTATGTCAATGACTATCCTTAAATCTCCTTTGAGAGATGAGTTGGCATTTAAATGAGCACAGTGTACCTAATCTTGGGTGACGTTCTTGTGTTGGAACATAGGCGGCTGACGGACTCTGTTATGAACAAATGAAAACCGATGGTAATGGGGCACTGAGCCCCTGAAGAGAGCGGTTTATCACTTGATTAAAACAGGTCTCAGTTTGCTCCATAGAGCATGCAAAATCTCTCTGCTGGTGCTATCAGCTGGAATGAAAGAAACACCCCCAAATGTTGATGGAATGATGCAGGCTGTACAGTGGTCAAGAACGTAAAATCTTCTTCATATTCAAATATGAGGCATCAGAGCAACCCAAATAATTCCGTTGCATATCTTAATCTTCCTCATCCCTATAAGATTAGAGAGAGTCTGTGATTTCCTTAGCAAAATCTTAGTCTAAGATAATTCTGTCTTGAGTTTTCATATTTTTGGAGGTGAGAATTTTGTCTTGCCCCTGAGAGGAGGAAAATGGTAAGCTTCTACACGAGCTTTTCCACTTAGGGCTCCGTTTTTTGGAAGAGTGCTTAGGAGTGAAAAGCTTGCAAAAAGGAAAAGCTGAACTATTTTCACAAGGTTCTGCGTAGTTTGATTAAATTTTGCATTACTCCGGAGTTACCTAAGAATTATGATGCTCTGGAAATGCTGCAGAGAAATATTTAAGCAATTTTTTGTTTGATATTGTTTCACTGATGAGTATTAACTGAATGGAAAAGAAAGGAAATTGCCTCCTAGATATGTACCCATTAAAGTTGTTTTTTCTAAAAAAAAACAAAAAACCAAAAAAACCCCCCAAAAAACAACAAGTTCTTGGCGTCTCTGATATTTCAGGAAGACGGGATGTATATCACTTGACAAAGTAAAGCTTAACTGAGGAATAGGAGAAATGATCCAGTGGGCAGTCTGGGCCTCCAGAGACCAGAGTTCAGTTCTTGTTTAGCTGTAGACTTCTTGTATGACTTTCTGGCAAGTCCTTTAGTCTAGCTTATGCCTTTGGGAGTATCTCCTTTTACAGATGGGGAGCTGTCTCAGAAGGGTGTTGAAAATAAAATCCATTAATGACTGTGAAACTATATAAATGCCTTCAATATGCTGAAACTTGGCCATGGTTTCAACATGGGTTTTTTCCTCTGAAAGGATGTCTGGTTTTATGGATGGTTGCCTTTTGTTCCCTGGTACAGGCTACTAATATGCTTTATTTGTGCCTGGATTTTTTCAAGATCTGTGCTGCTTTCCAGCAGTCATTGTATTCGTCTCAATACGCTGCCACATAAGGATTATTTTAGCAGTATAGAATTTGTTTAAAGTACCTTTACAATTAATCTTACTTGCACCTACTAAAACTCTGTATTTTAACAAAAGTCGTAGCAATAGCCTGGACCAGTAACAGGATAAAATGCTTTGGTGATCAAACATTTTGCTCAGCGATAGTCGTTACATCTTTTTTTTGGACGTGGAGAACATGGCATGTATGTACGAGGCGTGTTTTGCAATGTGTCTTGCCTACGGCTAAGCTGCTCTTGTATCAACTCCTCTGTCCCCTCCCTAGTTTGCATCTTGCCTTGTTCCCTTGTCCTTTTGAACAGTCGTGTCTTTTTAGATATCTTCTCATAGTGTCTCTCTGCATGTATAAATGCTTGGCTGCATTCAGAGAAAAGTATTTTTAGACAAAGAGAAGGGTCAGAATCAGAACTGCCATGATCAGACTATTTCCATTGCATTCAAGGATGTTTGTTATATTCAGCTGCATTTGGCCAGTCATTCTGTTTCTGGTTACATATGTCTAAGGGCATTTCACATGCGATAACTTTCAGGGCATTTGGTAAAAAATTCATGGAAGCTTTAGGTTGTGCTGTATGCATCTTTTGTTAGTTATTTATAAAATGACATTGCATAGTCTTCACCACCTTCTAAGTGTAGTTTAATGTGCAGATTAAAGGAAAAGCATGTAGTTTGTATTCTAGTAATCTGACTGTTTTGGAGGTATTTATACCATTATGTTCTAGGCATTAAATTAGAAATGTTTTATGCAAAATTAGAATTTAATCAGTCCTTTTTCTTCCATACTTGCTTTGATACATGAAAGACCTGAGTTCAAAAGAAGGCTTCCTATCAGTTTAGGATATTCTGCTTTTTTTAGGGAGTGTTCTTTTCATATGTAAGGTCAGCTGAGGCAGCTGAGCTGCTGGCTTCTGGAGAAAGCACTATTTCATGTGACTGATGAGGCTATCAGGATAGGTACTCACTGAAATGAAGTGTGAGTATTTTATAAATCTAAAAATAAGAATATATCCTCTTCATTCTTATTGGTATTGGAACATTTTAAGACTGAAACATACTTTCTTTGTAAAAGAGACTCCCTTTTATGAATAGTTCATTCTGCTTAGTGCATCAGCAAGAATTCTGAATCAAAATCAGTAAGCAGCATTTCTAATCAATTGTATATAAAAGCCGTCTACTAATGGAAACTTGAGTTCAGTGCTCCAGTCTTTTTCCTGAGTTGCTTCCAATGCTGTTTGTACTTAAATGGGCAGAACAGAGATTTTGTGATGGTGGTCATCAACTCCTCCAGATGCCTGATTCTTCTGCAGGGGGGGGGGTGTTGGGGTTTTGTATATGTGTATGCACACTGGGATTTGAACTGCATAAAGTATTTTACTGATAGCTTAACCAGACAGTATAAAGTGCTGATACAAACCAAGCATTAGACATGCCTGTCTTTAATACAGCCATCTGTTGAGAGCTAAAGCAGTTTTTCAAAAGCCTCTCTCAGCATAGACATCAAAGTCTATTCGTGCACCTGTGCCTCTGATCTTCTAATATTTTTCTTATTTAAAAACTGCAAAGGGAGAGGAGCAGTATTTCAAGATCAGTAGCTTTATTTAAAAACAAAAACCCAAAAAAACACCCCCACAAAACTCATGCTGCCAGTTCAGAGATTAAAAATGTCTTTACTTAATATTCAACACTTTATTTATGGAAAACCACTCAACCACGCTTTCATTTTCCTTTCCTCTGAGTAACCCCTGGCCTTGCTAACACCTATTTCCTGCCTCGTCTATTTACAATACAGCTGCTGAGATCATTTTCTTGATCCATTGGTCCGATGACATCAGCCGGACCTGTGAACTCCTTTACCGGCTCGCTCTTGAAGGGAACAGAGGCATGTTTGTGAGAAGCTGGCTTGTGGAGGGAGGAGCTTGAGGCACCTTGATGCATTCGGCAGCTGTGGCCCAAAAGAGGGCAACAGCAGAGGTGTCTGTCTTATAAAGGTCCTCTTCATAGACAGGCAAAGCCTGGCATAGCCCAGACTTTTTGGTAGCTCCTTCGTTTCCTCACTTACTTGCTAATTTGCAAAGACCAGCAGACTGTTCTTTCAAGTTATTAGTGTGAATTGGTGATCTCCTGATTATTATCTTATTCTGGCCTAGTGCCGTATCGTGATGTCGCTCGTGACTTAGGAGGCAGCTCGGTGTCGTTTATAGACAGGCAAAGCCTGGCATAGCCCAGACTTTTTGGTAGCTCCTTCGTTTCCTCACTTACTTGCTAATTTGCAAAGACCAGCAGACTGTTCTTTCAAGTTATTAGTGTGAATTGGTGATCTCCTGATTATTATCTTATTCTGGCCTAGTGCCGTATCGTGATGTCGCTCGTGACTTAGGAGGCAGCTCGGTGTCGTTTGCTGACATGGGTGCAGCAAAGCCCACCTTCCCCTGTTGCGGCAGAATGGTGTGGCACGGGAGGAGGAGGGCTGTGGTGGGATGGGAGGAAGACTGTTCCCAGCCACAAGCCCTGCGTGCGGCTGCTGCGGTGTAGCAGAAGCATGAGGAAAGTTCTGAGGTTTCTACCTGCGGAGAGCAGGGCTTGGCTGGGCTCCGGCGGTGAGCCGTGCTCCCTTCTTTTTGCCCGGTGTCTGTTTGGTCCGGCGCTGACAAAGACCCGTAGTCCTGCCATTTTTTCACCTGGAGGAAGAAGGGGCTTTTTGGGACACATCTCCTTTTCCCGTTTTCTCGCCTGCCCCATGTACCCTGGTTTGGTACACGGCATGCTTGAGCTCATCAAGTCCCGTGTGTGTGTCAGGGCTCAAGGGGCACCAACAGGCCCCAATGTCTCTGCCTGGGCCCTGGGGCTCCCCCCAC